CGAAAATCTTGATATTTAATAAATTTAACACTTACTTTTTATCTTGATTTTTTGTTTAATTTGATTTCCAATTAAATTTGATATTTCTTTCTAAAATAATTATTTTCTTTCTATTCATGTTTGAAATAATTTAATCTTTACTATTTTGCTACTCTATTTCTTCAAAATCTTGTTGAATTACTTTATCATAGTCTTATTTGAATTTTTTAATTTTAGAACCTCTGAAAAAACACAAAACATGAAATGTAAAAATCCACTAATAGAAACGCCTTACCATTATTAAATTGTTTTGACTCTTTTTATTATTTTTTTAATCAATTTTTGAGAAATTTTTAAAAATGTCATTTTTCAAAAATGCCATATTTTCAAAATCTTTGCAAAAATATCACTTTTTTTAAAAAAATTTCATTATATCATTTATGTTTGGGTTAACTATGTTGTATTAGGGTTTACTTTTGAGGGTTAAGAGTTTTATGGGTCAAAACATTTTTTAGTGTTTATAATTTTAAGATTTAGGTTTTAAAAATTCACAATTAATGACATTGCAAATGGATACCCCTAAGTGACATTCTTGCAAATGTACACTCCAAAAATGACAATTTTGTAATTGTCCCTTAACTTTTTACATATTTCCAAATAATTAGTTTCTTATATTCCTTTTTGAATTAGGTTTATTTTTTTTATCATATAATTATTTTTCCAAAATCTTAACGAATTGAATTCGATATTTTTAGTTGCAAACTAAAATTACAAATTTCAATAAGATTTTTTTCACAAATTGATTCCCAAATTTTGCAAGAATTTAAATCATCTAGTGATGCAAAAAGCTTTAAATAGTATTTTTATGCGTTAAAATAAAATCAAATTATAGTCAGATATTATTCAAGTAATTAGTACTACGTTAAGACTCTTATTGATATAAAATAAAAATACGTTAACTTTTTCATCAACTAATATAAATTCATTCGTATAAGCGCATTATTTTCTTAATATTATTCTTCTCTTACTTTCTAATAAGACTTAATACACTACGATGGTAAACACTTTTTGT